TGAGCAATGTTGATAAAAAATGACAACTTTTTCGACGTGGCCCCAAACCAAAACAAACATCAGGCGGTGTGGTGGAGTATACTTTAATTACACATTTTTTACTCCAGTCACAAGAAAGACTTTAATAGAGAGCACAAACACTGAAGTATAATTTCCAAACATTTTATTTCGCTACCACTGTATAATTTTAAAGCCGAAAGAACACAATATATATGAATTTTGAACCTAAACGTTAACATTATCCATAATAACTTAAAATCCTGAGAAGCTCTGACTCGTGACACTGAAATTTTACTTATATACCAATGAAATAATTCCCGCCAAAACACAAATATCACGAGAAAGTCAAAAAACATGATTTATAACAAAATACTCCGCCGGATTATAACAAAGTACTCCGCCGGAGAACATATCTACAATAATGTGTAAAGGTTATGCCGGAGCATAACATTTAATTTAAGTAAAACAAAATTATGAGGTCACCGGAGAAAAATAATAATTTTGGGAAAGAATTTCATATTATCTCGCGTTCCTCGCGACATTCCCCACAAAACATAAACAAGATAATGTCCTAACTTGATCAATAAGTATCATTAAATTCACAATAAATCAAACAAACAAAAAATGTCTTAACAAATTATGATTCAAATACACATTTATGCGAACTAATGTCTGCTTAATGAAATATTACGAGTCACAATTGTTTATTACTGCTTCATTTCATAGCAATGATAGTCATCCTCATATCTGCTGGTCTTGTATATGGGAGAATCGCCTCGATACGTTGTATAACATAAACCAGTCCTTGTCCATACTTCGACAACAGTTCTGAGCGTTCGTCTCTCAATTTCCTCAGAATCTGACGTCACAACATTCACATTACCACCATCATCATCAACCTCATAATCCTCGTAATCATCATCCTCATCATCATCATCAATTACGTAAACAACATTGTTGTTTTGATCAAATTGACCACTAGTTTCACTTTCACTGACGTCACTGTAATCAACTGAAGTGCTTCGAATATTAGATTCGATACTAATTTCATCAGTGTTGGAACTGTCTATATCCGTCACATTGTTTTCTGTGACATTCTCAATCAAGCCCAAATCACTTTGATTAACATTAAACCGACATTCTTCATTCACATTAATATCTGTTTCCTCATTACAATCCTTTGGCTGATCTACTTGTTTTTTGCTATCAGACATTGCATTCGAAAACGAGTCAATGTCATTATTTTCAAACATTCCAATATCGAAGCTTTGTATGACTTCGTCATATTGTACAGCGTTCATTTCCTCGTTCTCAGCTAAAATATCAAATATGTCTTCGTCAGAGGAGACATCTTCATAATAATTAGAGGAGTGATGGATATCTTCACGTGTTGCTCTCAACGTGGCTTGTCTTGCTTCAGAACGAGGGTATTTATGAATATTGGTTAGATGGTCCAACAAATATCCTCGCCTGATAAATTTTCCTTCACAATCTGGTTCAATGCATCTCCAATGCTTCAGCTCTGAATGCTTCTCGGTTATATGTCTTGTTAAATTTATTTTATATTGATACGTTCTTTAGCAAATATCGCATTTAAACATTGCTGTTGAATTTCAGGGTACACTTTCTTATTTCAAATACGTTTACTCTTATAAGTGAACAATTTAGCAATAAGTCGGTGAATATATATATGTGTGTCACGGAAATCACGAAAATCTCGTGCAAACTATCTAAATTTTTGCTATTATAATTTGCTCCGGTAAATCACGTTGACAATATACACACAGTTACGTTTCTCTATGCTCCGGTGAACCACGTGGAAAACATACTTTATTGTGTCGATTTCTCCGGTGAAAATTTAGCGCGGGAAAAAACGGCGCTTAATATATTTAATGCTCCGGTGATTCCTCTTATTGTTCATTGTATTCACATGTTATTTTTACAATTAGCACTGTTTCTGATATTTAAAAAATGACACGCAATGAATCATATATATTTAAATTTTGCAGGGTATGCAACCATCCCACGCGACGATGATGATAATATACATTTCTCTCTTCATTTTTTTTATCTATTAACTACTTCAATTGGATATAGGATATTTAATGGTCGTTTTATCACTTTTCTGGATGATGTCAGTATGATGTTTTTCTTAAAGCACGTTTTACAATGCCGATAAGGCGTTCATAAAAGCCGCCCATCCATGGGGCCAATTCCACGATGAATGTCCATTTGATGCCGATATTTGATGTATAATTTTGAACGTCTTTGTCTTCCACTGCTGTTTTCCATACTTGCTTGATAATATCACTCGAAAGTTTGAATTGTTTTGCGTTATCACTTATAAGTTCCACAGGCGTTCCTCTTGTAGCTATAAATCTTTTTAAGCACATCAAAAAACTATTGGCTGTCATATCTCGTACAACTTCGAGGTGTACAGCACGAGTTACAAGACATGTAAATAGACACACCCATACCTTTTCTTTCACTTTATCTTCTTTTATATATAATGGTCCGAGATAATCAAGACCAACTCTAGTAAATGGCGTAGCCTGTGATACGCGTGACTTCGGCAACGGAGCCATTGGAGGAAGCTTATATGGGCCCCCTTCAAATCTGCGACATATTCTGCATTTCTTTAATACTTTTCCAACTGAAGCTCTGCCATGTGGTATCCAATATCTTTGCCTAACTTCACTAAGTGTTTGGGAAACTCCACTGTGCAATATTCTACAGTGTGTTCTTTCAATAATAAGACACGTCACTCTTTCTCCGGAAGGCAGCAAAATTGGAAATCTTGCTGCTTCATTAAAACTTGAATGTTGCAAACGACCACCGCATCTCAATACACCATTACTATCGATGAATAGGTCGAGCTGTCTAATTAGATTATTTGTCTTTTTAACTTTGATTAACTCCAGTTCCTCAGAATAGTGTTTCAATTGAAGATATTTTACCCACAAATCCTCTGCTTCTTCTAATTCGCTGCAAGAAAGATATCCAGTTGTGCAATTTTTTCGACGAATATTCCTTATAAAACGTTTGCACCATGCTGTTACTCGTATTAACTTGGTAACTGAAGAATATTTGTCTTCGTCGATATTGAACGGAGAATTGATGTACATCTTTTGTTTGGTTAAAACACTTTCTTGTTTTAATTCTGATGAACATAATTCAACATTTTCACATTTATTCACTTCATGCTCAGTGGTATCATTTGTTAGCTCATTTTTGTCTAAATTTGTGCAGTGAAGATATGTTGAATCATCCATTGACTGAATATTCATATAAGTCCAACTTTCAATTGGATTCTGCAACCATTTCGGACCGTTCCACCATATACTCTCTTCTAGTTTCGATAGTGTGCATCCTCTACTCGCAATATCTGCAGGGTTATGATTCGTGTTGACGTAATGGAATTCTATGTCATCATGCTCTCTAATTTCATTCACTCTGTTTTTAATGAATGTTGGAAGCTTCTTTTCAGATTTAATCCATTGCAATACACACTGCAAATCTGTCATTATCACCATTGAATTAAGCAACACTTTCAATTGGGCTGCTACAAATTTTACACATCTCACTCCAATAAGAACTGCTAAGAGTTCAAGTCTAGGTATTGACATTCCTTTCAACGGAGCTAGTCTATTTTTGCTGAATATAAGATCTACTTTAGTTGATTTGTTTGACTCCTGTCGAAGATAGATTGTTGTAGCATATGCTTTTGATAGAAGCATCACAAAAGCATATAAGCATGTTTTTAGCACCAACTTTTCCGTTTGAATTTCCAACATGTCTGTTTATTTTCACATTTTCTATCTTCAAAAGATCACTTTTTATTTCAAGCCACTCAGTCACATCTTCTTTGTCAAGTATATCATCCCAGTACAGGTGTTTGCTCCACACCTTTTGGAGTAAAACCTTTCCTCTCATTGTAATAGGAGCAAATAATCCTAATGGGTCAAATACCGATGCTACTTGTTTCAACACATCCCTTTTTGATAGTGATAGCTCTTCACGCAGAGTCTTCGATCCTTGAACAGCTATAGTATCAGTTTTTGTATTCCATACATATCCCAAAACTTTGACCTTTTTATCTGTTGCTTGATCTATCTCAGGTATTGAACGATTAACTTCGTCACTATTAGTAATCCATTCTCTCAAATTCATTTTTGCATCACTAAATATGATCTTTGCTTCATTGTATAAAGCAATGCCGTCTTGTACTGTGTCTGCACCTGATATGATATTATCCATATAAATATTTTCTTTAAGCTGTTCTGATAACGGAGTTTTATATTTATTTAGATGACTCTCAATGGTTGCTCCAAGTAGAAATGGGCTTGATATTACACCAAATGGAACTCTGCTGAATCTGTACTCTTGTATATGATTGTCATCAACAATAGGATTTTTATAGTTTTTGAACCACAAAAACCTTGTTACATCTCTTTCCGATGGTTGTAAGGCAACTTGGAGAAAAGCCTTTTCTATGTCAGAAATAACAGCTATTTTTGGCATTCTGAATCGAAGGATCATACCGCAAAGATCTCTAAGTAACACAGGACCTCTATATAAACATTCATTCAAGCTACGATATTCTTTATTCACTTTTGCCGACGCATCATAAACGATTCTAAGTTTTGTCGTTGCTTTATCCGGTTTGATCACAACGTGATGGGGAATATAATGCTTTATTCCATCACATGTATCTCTTTCAACCTTTTCAATAACACCCTTTTGTAATTGATCTTCAATCACTTCATCGTATCTTTCCATCAAATTTGGCATTTTCTGAATCCTTTTTACAAGTGATTTAAGTCTCTTCCAACAGCCAATCCTCTATTTTCTGGTAGATCTGATTCTGAAATATCTTCTTTCCAAGGCCACGTGACCTGGTACCTTCCATTTTCTCTTTTGAGTGTGTTTTTAAAAGTTTGCATTGCCTTTTCATCATCAGTTTTAGTAATATTATCTGTTATCCCAATTCCTTCTAAATTTCAGAAATTTTCTATATTTGGTTGCATTTGAAGGAGAGGATCAACTTCTTGAAACACTTTATTTTCTATCACATTTCTGCCATGTGTCATTATCAACATGCTGGCATCATATGTATCCTGAATCGTCTCATCAAGCTCTGTTCGTCCAGAAATAATCCATCCAAATTTTGAAGATAGGAGGTACAATCCAGGACTCACTTTTATTTTTTCTGACTCTATCACATCCAAATAATAGTCATTACCAAGTAATAGTTCTAAGACATCTGATTTTGTTTCTGTTGGTATGCTATCAGCTAGGGTCAAATCTTTTGTGAATTCAAGTAATTTTTGTTTTTGGCTATCTTTAACTTTAGTACGCTGCATCATTCCACTTATACTTGGCACAATATTTGCTTCGATGGTCAAATAATCTCCATTTTTCATTTTCAGATTTAATTTTGTTGTTTTTGTCTTGATCACTCTCGATTTTTCACTGCCAAATGTTACAATGTTTATTTCTTGGTCCTTTTCTCCTTTTAGCTTTAGACGGTCTGCAAGCGATTTGGCAATATATGACCTATGTGAACCTGAATCAAGGATGAGACGTACCTTTTCGCTCTTCAGACTTTTTGCACCACGAACGTCAGTCAGCACCGTTTGCATAAGCACAGTTTCGTTTAAGGATAATAGTCCAGCTTCTTCACTTGGATTTTCTTCCTTTAATATTTCTTCTGACAAATGAACACTTTCTTTTTGGAAGTGTTTTGAAAACTTTTTATCACATAAGCTTCGGTGATGTACGTTCACTTTGCCGCAATACACACATAACTTTGAACTTTTGCATTCATTTGTTTTGTGACTGTCTTTCAGACACTTAAAACAACCACTTTTCAATCTTCTTTTTCTATCGTCAATACTTTTATAAATAGTGCATTCATCGCTCCAATGAGCACCTTCACAATATCTACATTTTCTTTGAAATTGCCTTGTTATACTTTTCTTTTCTCCGGCAATAAGAGATCCAGTAGCGTATTTTGGTACATAATGTCTTTCACGATTCCTGTCATAAGGACCACCACCTGTCATTCGATAATGTTGAGGTTTTTCAATTTTGTCATCACGCTGTGTTTGATTTTCTGGGATCCTTGTCTTATCCGCCTTTTCTTTAGATACAATATATTGTCTCAACAGATCACGTAATTTCAATATTGTCCACTTTTTATCAGCGTGTTTCATAATCTCTAATTGAAGTAACACATCACTTGGTAATTTGCTGCGAATCATAGATACAAATATATGTTGTTCTAGATTTTCACCCAATACTTCTAGGCTGCGGAGATGCTTTTCAATTATGTCCATGAAATATCTTAAACTCTCTGTATTATGTCTAGCTGGTATTAAATTTAGAAGCTGTTTATAGTGGAGATCAATTATTTCTTGTTTGTCTCCAAATCGCTCTCTAAGTATTTTAATGGCAACCTGATAATTTTCGTTCGAAAGAGTCAATCCCGCAATCGCACTTCTCGCTTCGCCAGTAATCTTTCCCTTCAGGTAATTGAACTTATCTATTGGAGATAACCTTTCATTCTTATGAACGGCACTTTCAAAGGAGTCCCAGAACTCAATCCAAAGTAAGCGATTTCCATTGAACGATGCTATGTCTAACTTTGGAAGTTTGACTGATGTTTCTTTTCTTTGTGATATTTGCTTATCCATTAGTTTTGTTTGAATTTCAAACTGTCGATCACTTTTTTCCTGTTGTTGAACGAAAAAGTCTCGTTGCATTTCTATCTGCAAATCACACATCCTTTGAACTGCACTATCACTGACAGAATCTCCAGTTTCTCTACGCTTTATTAATGCCTTTAGATCATCTTCACACAACTGTAGCTTATGCGATAATGACAAAGCACTTTGAGTCAAAACAGAATCATCTTCGATAATTGTTTGAGAGGTATCGTCATCTGAATCCCCCAAAGCATAAGCTAATTTTTCTGACTGAGCACTCAACTTTTCGACATAAATATTAATTTTATATCTACATTCACTAACCTTTTTTTGTAAGTTTTTATACTCTTCTGGCAATTCATCCACAACTGAATCCAATAAGTCCAAACCAATTTTAATCTCTTTATCAAGTACATTAATATACCGTGTACGCACACCCTTTATAAACTTTATGTTTACGTTTGCTTTTTCCATTTTTGTAAATGCACTGTAAGTCCAAAACTTTTCAAAATATTTTAAATCAACTCGTATTGCTTAAAACACATTCACTAATACATAATATCAAACTCTGTCCCACTTTTAACTTTAATCACTTTAAACACAATACAAATTCATTCATCTCCATAAATTTGCAAATTGTAACACATACTATTTACTTTCACAAGCTCCTATTTGTAACGTGAATATTATTTATCTATTCACAATAATTAATTCCTGTTCACAGAAACACAACACATACTTTTCCTTCTTCACTTTTAATCACGCCAAGAACATCCTAGTTTTTGCTTTCCCGGGTTCCGTTTCTATGTGGTGGAGTATACTTTAATTACACTTTTTTTACTCCAGTCACAAGAAAGACTTTAATAGAGAGCACAAACACTGAAGTATAATTTCCAAACATTTTATTTCGCTACCACTGTATAATTTTAAAGCCGAAAGAACACAATATATATGAATTTTGAACCTAAACGTTAACATTATCCATAATAACTTAAAATCCTGAGAAGCTCTGACTCGTGACACTGAAATTTTACTTATATACCAATGAAATAATTCCCGCCAAAACACAAATATCACGAGAAAGTCAAAAAACATGATTTATAACAAAATACTCCGCCGGATTATAACAAAGTACTCCGCCGGAGAACATATCTACAATAATGTGTAAAGGTTATGCCGGAGCATAACATTAAGTAAAACAAAATTATGAGGTCACCGGAGAAAAATAATAATTTTGGGAAAGAATTTCATATTATCTCGCGTTCCTCGCGACAGGCGGTTGCCAGAAGGGGGATGTGCCCCTTTCTGTTCGCGGGGTTTGTATGGGGACGGTAGTCCCCCTCATCGCCAAGAAAATTGTGGACTTTTAAAAGGTTAAAAATGACCCCAGATCTATCATAAGGTGTAACCAATCCATTGAGAAGTTGCAGCACTTTGAAATAAATTTTGATGGAAACGATTAAAGCAAAATAGTGATTTTTTACAATTTTGAGATGTCCCCTCGTTGCCATGGTAACAGGGTAATTTAATCCTGAGCATGTTGTTACCAAGGTAATGGTCCAGTCAACATTGGTGCCAAGTTTGATTAGTATTGACGCAGTTTTTATAGTTTTATAGCAATTTGAACTTGAAACCGGAGACTTTTCAAAGAAAACAGACATTTCTTACAAAATGCTCATGAAGTAATGGATTAAATGAAGCGTATTACATATACCTATTACTGTGCCAAGTTTCATGCTTTTCACAAGAGGTGCACAATTCACCCTTTTTTGCACGGATTTCTTGGACTTCACTATTGAACATAGTGATCTCTGCACCGAACAGTATATCATTTGAACTGATCATAATAATAGTACCATTCAACAGTTCTATTTCACGACTGAACAAAATGAATAAAGCACCCAACAGCATGTCATTGGAACTGAAAATAATGAAAGTATCACCCAATAATACACTGCCTCAGCCAAACAAAATGATAGTACCACTCAACTGTTTATTTTCATGGTTAAACGTAATGACAAGAGCACCAAACAGCATAATATTATAACCGAACATGATAACTGTAACATCCTACAACATATCATTTTAACTCAACTTAATTGTGTTACCACATGGCTGTTTGTTTTAAAAACTGAACATAACGACTTATGCACCCTACAATACATTGAATTAGCTGAATAAAATGTAATCAACACACAACATAACACTTCAAAAACTGAACACATTGGGATTTTCACCCAGCATATTGGGATTTCGACCCAGCATATTGTATCTCGGACTCAACAGAATGACACTTCAATATATATTTATCATTCATTCTACACATAACACAGTCCAGGCGTTCCATAGAAGTCGTTTGGAGTGTGTACCGACGGTTGAGTTTGATATCAAACGAATGACTGATGTTAGGGGAGCAGACTTGTATATTTCAAACGAATGACTGATGTTAGGTGAGCAGACTTGTATATTTCAAACGAATGACTGATGTTAGGTGAGCAGACTTGTATATTTCAAACGAACGACTGATGCAGCGATGATTGACCATTAGTTGATATTGGAAATTACTAAAACATAAATATGCCCCGCTCTTTTTACAAACAAAACGTCATAAAAAATTCTGATTGACTTTTTTTTTTAATTTTCTTGAGTTCTGTATCGTTTATGCAAAGTAAATTATAAAATTAGAAGGGTTTATGGCAGAATTCAAACTTACTTTCATTTTCACTGTTTACTCACTATATACCCTTAGATTGGCATACTGTCAATTAAAGAGCTACTTGTTTTTCACAAATACAATCATTGCTAGAAATGTACGTAATAATTTATAAATATTTTTTTATATAGATGGTTATTTACAAATAGGAATATGAACACATTTTTCGCAATAATTATTGCTTAATATAAATGTTGCATTTGATCGGGGTTTCGCACAATTTGAATAATTGTAGCGCGACAGAATCTATTAGCCTTTTTATATAATGTTGTATGATATCAAAAACGGAGAAATTCCAAATCTGTTACATTGTCATGTAAAAGAAATTTATAAAGCCCACTTTCAGATTTTAACTATGTGATTTAACATTACAGATATCCCTTCCAACTTGATTTTTGAAAAGGGTTTTTGAAATCCTACTTTATATAAATGAAATAAAATGCAGCTTATAAACATGTTTGTTCTTTTATTAAATAGTAACCAAATTTAGAGAACTAAGTATTATTATAATGCATAGACATGTTTTTTTATGTGAGGCAGCCATTCGGGTATCTAACAGAACCACGTTGGTTTTACTCAGACGGCCGTTCGTGCCTGAACTAATACATGGAGGGTTCCACAGTTCTTCCCCTACCAGTTAAGCTGGACAATCGCTTTAACAGTGTTGGTAAGAAAACATTCAACAAACCAACCAATGCATTGTTTAATTGGAAGACATCTTACAGGTTTGCTATAGCAAGTACAAAAAGAAACATTATGTAGAAAAGCCATGTTCATTTTTTTATCGACAATTCAATTGTTCCGTTGTTAAACAAAATGTACTTTTTAAAGTTTTTCTAGTCATGTATCAAGCTTGTTGGTTTTGCACTTCTCAGTTGTTTCTTATAAATAGTATATTCATTGTTACATACTTATTATAAGACTAAGTATTAGACTAAGTTATAAATCGAGCCATAACATTGAATTTATCTTCAAGTTTATATTTGTTTACTAAAGATATATCAACTTATACTGGCCAATGAATAATGACGGCAAAATAAAAAAGTTGTTATTACCGATTTCTTTGCAAGTAGTCGTCTTCAAATCGAAATATATTTCTAAATATGGGATGAGAGATAAATACCCAGTTATGACAACAATGGAGATCTACGACTCGCTCGAAAATTGAAACAGCGATATATGGATTAGAGTTCAATAAACTGTAAAGAGCCAAACGGATAGAAAAAGAAACTTGCTTATGGTTATTGAAGAAGCATGCCTCCAGAGGAGCCACAAATTCAAGAACATAAAACTTGAGAAAATGTATTAAGATTTTTAGGAAAAGTATAGATATTCACTATTGTAGTAATAATTTGCAGAAACAACCAGATTTTTATACTTCACAACAGCAGGTGTCAAGTGCTGTATGGCAGCTGTAAAAAGTTGCCCCATACTTAACTTCAGTGTTGTTATATTTTTCTGGTCCTTCGGGATGATTGATGCCAGTACTATTATGTGTTGAGAATTGAGTACCACCCAAGCCGGTGCTAGGGGGCGTGAGGGCTGTTACACTTTACATTATCCCTCATGCACAGACTCAATCCACCCGAGTCTGCAATTCTCATGTAATTTTGTTGTGATTAATGCTTCCGAGGGATTACTTTGGTTCCAGATTTTTTTTACACATATCTTCGGATTTTCAACTAATATAAGTACTAACATCACTGTATTTCATTTGAGGAAAAAAACTCTTCTTTGTATTTACGTTTTGAATTTATCTACTTCTCAGATAATCTAACGTTCTTATGAAACGGGAAATAAACGATGAAACAGCATATTATTCATATGTCATTTTTCAAACAGAAATTATAACCTCTTAACAAACAAAAAGAAAAACATCATTTATTGTTTACAACTCACACCGTTGCTTTGTAATAATTTGATCCTTGAATAAAATGGCTAGTTTTCTTTGATGTAAATTGAAAATTTCAGATCATGCAAATTTGTGGACAAAATAAGCTGGAAATGTCCCAATTGAATGAAACATTAAGTTCATTTAAGTTCATTTTTAATATTGAAATACAACATTAATGAAACTATCATGAATTTATTTCCACTTCATAATATTTGATTTAAACGTATCTGTATATCATTTCAAATGCAAAGAAACGGCATGGTTAACATATCAAAATAATTTATTTATTTATGAGTACACGTAACATAAAACTTTCTTATTTTTTAACATTTGATACATTATATATACCTTATGAATTGATTTGCGAAAATGTTATTTCTTTTCGCATGACGATCAAAGCAGCAACTATTTCATTATCAATCCGCTTACACTGTCTGTTTACATGGATAAATAAAAAACTTCGAATTTTATGATTAAGCCTGGATTACCTTTTATATTTCATCATATTTAAAAGCACGATACGATGCATTGTTTGTGTCCCAACGGCGGATTATGCCTTTTTAAAGACTTATAACAGATAAACTGGTCTTTTTATAACAAATGATACAGAGTTAATATATTTACTTTTGTTAAGTAATGATGATAAGTGAAGTTACTTGACATATATTATGTTAATATATATCTAGTCAACACATCATATTAAATATTATACAATAAGAATTTTTTGATAATATTAACTGTGATTCTGTCATGCATACAAACAGTTTGTCGAAGACGATAGGGTTTTGTTTTTTTCTAACCAATCAAGATTATTTTCGTAGAATATTGATATCTTGACATTTGACATAAAAGAATAATCGATAGGAA